GTTTAGATGTGAAGCCTTCTGGTAATTATTTCGAGATTGATTCTTTTGATTATTGTGATTATTTCTTTCTTAGAAACAATGTTGTAAACATCTTTGAACTTGATGAAATCAGTCATTGAGATATGAATGAATAGAAGTGAGGAATCAAGCCGCAATTAAGATGAAGTTTTACAGTGCGACACTCTTAATATACAATTACAAATATTATTGGTTTTGTTATTATTTAAATAACAAAACCGGTAAAAAATTACCTAAAACATTATTATTTATACTTAAAGCATCAATATTTTTTAACATTTTCGGTAAAATGTCTAACAATAACAAAATCGATAAAAAAATAATAAAAACAATATATTTTAACGATTTTTAATAAAACCATAAAATACCTAATAATAACAAAACCGTTGAAAAAAATAATGAACGAATATCATATTCATACAGATAATTTATTTTTTCCTGAATATAATCTGAAAATAAAAATGAAACATTAATTTTTATAATTATCTGTGACAATAGAACCATCGGACGTATACCCTACGTTTGAAGATCATCTGATAAGATTTTTTCCCATTTAGTCCTAAGTTTGTGTCAAGTGGGGGCCCAGAGAAGGGTGGCAAATATGAATCTAACAAGTGGCAAAGATGGAAATCTCGCCATAAGAGATTTCCACGTGTCAATAACTAAGACGTAACCAAAACAAAAGTACAAAAAAGCACAATTGTCCTCCAATTAACTTATTTTTCATTAAAAAAAACTTATTTATTTACTTATTTTTTAATTTAACAAAGAGGCCCCCAAGCGTTTTTTATTATTATACTAATTATTATATATAATAAATATTTAATTCAAATATCATTTAAAGAAGAAAAAAAAGTAATAACTTTTGATCAAACTAACGATTGGTCGATTGAAGTGAAAGATCCAAGCTTCAACTTGGCAGTAATCTGGCGAAACAGACAACATTGTATTTCCGACGAAGATAGGAAACAATAAACGATGTCGTCTCCAGACGTTGCGTCAATATTGGAAAACTCGAGGGAACTCGATCGGTTAAGGAAAGATCAAGAAGAGGTGCTCGTCGAAATCAACAAGCTTCACAAGAAGCTTCAAGCTAGTAAAATTCTTAAACTCCTTTTCGTTTTAGCTCCAGATTTCATGATATGGGTTGATTATTTGGTCCCTAAGATTAATGGGTTTGTTTTGGTATTGAAATATGGTCTTCATAGCTCCTGGGTTTTTGTTGTTTCATTCAAGAAATGGATTTTCGAGTTGGGTTTGGTTTAAATGAGCTTAAAATTTTTTGACGATGGGATTTATTTGATAGATAAGCTAACTTTTTTCACATTGTTGCTGATTGCTTAGTTCATGAATGTTTTTCTTTTCGTTTTTAGGGGAAAAGGAAACTAGAGATGATCAAGTAACAAAGGATAGGGCAGTTTGACAATTGACTTGCTTTAAAGTTTAGCTGCGTTTGTTTTTCTGGTAAATAAGCTAATTACTTGTGAAATGGTTTACTAGGTTTCATGATCTGAATTGCGGTTTAATGCCAAGTGTGGTATTGTCATGTAATTTTGGTTGTTAATGTTTAGCTAAAATTGCTGCTTATGGGGCCTAGTTTTCATGGGGAATCAAAGTTATGTACTTGGAGTTCCATGTAGAGAGTGGTTAGATTTGCTTTGTAGATTAGCAGTTTCCCGGACGCACATAGTCGAAACTCAGGAGTATAGAATTCGCTTGGAATTTTTATATTCATTATTTGTTATCCTTTAAAAGCTTTAACAGAAACACAGAATGCATTATAGTTTCTCATAACCTTGTGGAAATTTTTGTTTGATAATGTAGTTTCAAATGGAAGGCTTCCAGCTTACCTTTGGAAAGAATTCTTGACTTGAACCAAAGACTTACAAGAATTATTGTTTCTTCTTCTCAATAGTTCCTTGAGATTTTAGAGATTTCGACGATACTTTAAATAATCAATTATTGGATTGTTGTCTTGCATCAAGTAATTCATTACACCTTGAAGGGATAGAGAATTTGCTTAAGTTGTATTCTTTAAGATTCCAGAATCATTGATCTTTCTTCTTTTGCCTTCTTTGTTCTTGTTCTTGTTTGACTATAACTAATAGTGATGGTGTATACTAATCCTAAACTTCTGTATATAAATGCAGCTCCTGAGGTAGTTGAGAAACCTGGCGATTCTTCATTATCGAAGCTGAAAACTTTATATATTCAAGCTAGAGATCTTTCAGAAAAGGAAGTAACGTATGCTCAATGTCTCTGACAAAGTCTTTGTACAATTTGCTTTGTCCTTCTTTCTCTTTTTCTCTCCCATTTTCTAGTAAACCCGGGCACAATTTCTCTTTATCAATAGTTGGGGCCAGTGTAGGAATTAACTCTCTGGCTAGCTTTTGTATTTTCAAGTACCATTTCCACTGTTTTGGCATTGATACAGGATTTCCAGCTTGTTACTTAGTCAACTTGATGCCTTCTTGCCGTCTGGACCTCCGGGACAACAACGAAGGAAGATGGGTGTGTGCTACCAGCTATGTCTTTAAATTTTTTATGTTCTTTCCGTTCTTCCAAAGCTTGAGCATCGAATGTATGAGATATACCAGAAAGGAAAACTCATTTCTTTGTGTAGATCTCGTATACTAGTATAAGAGTATCGGAACTTCCCTATTTATGTAGCTGACATTAAACAAACTGCAGATGGTATCGAACAAAAAAGAAAAAGAATGAAATCTGATTCGGATATTTCTCGCCTTTCTCCTTCTATGCGGAGTCATATCGAGGCTTGTGTTAGTCTCAAAGATGAGCAGGTAAGTTTTTAGGCTATGTAGCAAACATAAAAACCATGTTGTATATGTCTTTCGTAATCAATCATTGATTTTTTTGTTCGTAGACTTGATTTTCTGTGTTCTTGTACTCAGGTAGCTGCAAGAGTCACCTCGGATGCTGAGAAGGATGAGTGGTTTGTTGTGAAAGTGATAAATTTTGACGAGAAAACAAAAGAGTAAGTACTGTTCCTGTAAGACAATAAAGTTTGGCTTGTGAAAGAATTCCATTCGGAATATACTTTGTTCTTGGTTAAGGTTACATCTCCGTATGCAGATTTGAGGTACTCGACGAGGAACCGGGTGATGATGAAGAGGGCGGTGGCCAAAGGTAAGCTTTTATGCTTTATGGTTGATTGTTTCGATAGATTGAGACTGGAATTCGAAATTAGTTAGGTATTTGTACTACTACATTAGGTAACCCTTGTGTCTATCGATACAGATGTGTCTGACACGGATTTTATTCAACTTTTCTCTGTTTTTTCGTGTATTTGGAGGATTTTTGAAAGGTCATACCCTTTCATCGATGTCTGGATGTGTCGGACAGGGGTGTCAGACACAGTTACTTGAAGAAAATTTATTAAAAGTGAGGAGTTGGAGCAACATAGAATTTGAGAACACTTGAAAAATGCAAATAACTTTGGCTTTTGTTATTACAACTTCAGGAAGTACAAGCTGCCTGCATCTTGCATTATACCGTTTCCCAAGCGGAACGATCCGTCTAGTATTCAAGAATTCACTGCCGGAAGACAAGTTCTGGCTGTTTATCCGGGAACAACCGCACTCTACAAGGCGACTGTCATCAGTACTCCTCGAAAGGTAATGATTCCGGTCATCTCCATCATCAGCTCATGACAAATAATTCCGGGCCATTTGCTCCGGTTTCTATTTTACTAGTACGTTGAACTGACTACTAAGTTCTTGTGTGTATCCATGGGGGGCTGCCAACCATTTCTATCTTTCCAGAGGAAATCGGACGAGTAAGTAAAACCCCCGATAACGTCTCGTATAAAACCTTGTTGTTAGTGTCTGCTCATGTTCTTGATATATGAGTCTTCTTCCATGAACAATAAAATGTAACTTGTAATCATTATTATTATTAGTTAATTAATTGTTGCTTGTTGTCTAGGTATTTACTGGAATTCGACGACGACGAGGAAGATGGAACCTTGCCTCAGCGAACGGTACCATTTCACAAGGTGGTTCCGTTGCCGGAAGGACATCGGCAATGAGATGTAATTTGTGTAAATGTGTATAATCTAGTGCTATAGTTGGCGTTTAAACCTGTGAATCTGAACTGAACCCTAGTTTTCACGTGCCTTGTGTTATTGGATTAGTAATGAAAGATTGTCGCTGATTACCTGTATTGTTACTTCAGTTCTTCATTACTCGTAAATGGCTGCCATTGGACTCGGTATTTGACTCGGTTGTTCGTTGATCCCGCTCAAACAGCAGGCTAACTATTCTTCCAAATTGAACTTTACCTACTTTATAAAACATGGTTAAAATTAATATATAAATAATTAAAATATTAATTATTACAGAACATAAACAAATACACGGATAATTAAAATCTAGACAAAATAACTCCAAACAGAATCTGTAAAATTTATATCAGAAATAATTTAAACTGAAAGTTTACGTATAACATTTTCTGTAGGATTTCCTCAAAAACTCTGATAATTTAGTAGTGCCTTGACCCCTAAAATGCAAAAATTTTCTTTTTAGCCCCTTTAAAATTTAAAATTATAAACTAATACAATAATAATTTACACTTCGATCCTCCGAATATTTAAATTTCAAGTGTAAGCTCTAAAAACATATTTACAGATTCTGGTTGAATACTCTATTCCGTAACAGTTTTCCAAGATTAGAACCAAAGAACTCAAATAAAAACTTGACCTCTAAAAATATGGAAAATATATAATTAGAAAACCATGAAAATCGGTGGGTCAAATCGTTATTTTCTTAATTTTTTATTTTGTTATAACCATTTCCTATGTAAACCCAATGCCTTTGCCTTGTTTTCAAATCATTCCTCAGTTTTGCAGTGTTATTTCTCAAGAGAAACAGTGCTGCATTTCTCTCGAATCTTCATATAATAAATAAATAAATAAATATTTATATATTATCTCTTTCTTTTCAAATTTATCTCCGAAACGAAAGATGGCTCGCCAGGTTATTGTTGTTTTCGCCCTTGTTTTTTTGGCTGTTGTCGGTGCCTATGCGGCGGAGAGTAAGTCATCGTCTTCCAAATCCCCCTCCTCCTCCCTTGCCTCATCTCCCTCTTCTACGGGAAACAGCAGCAGCAGCAGCTGCCATTCTCCTCCTACCCATGAATCAACACCGGCAACGGCTTCAGCTTCTCTCAAAGCCTCCGGCGTCGTTGGCGTTGCCACCAGTGTTGCCGGACTCTTCTTATTCTTTTAAGATTCATATGACAATGACACGTGTATGGCGTGGAGCATGGATCTACACACGGTTTTCATATGATTAAAATGTATTTGTTTATGAAAAACTGTAAATTGATATAATGTGTGAAACGTCTCGAATGATAAATAATATAACAAGCCAATGTTTTTTTTTCAAGGTTAATCGACATGTTATCTAGCCAATTACAATAAATTAGATTTTACGCTACTTTCTTGTCCATTTTCTTTTTATAAAGATTAAAATAAAGATAAATCATTAATGTTTAATAAAGATTAAATATAATATTTAATCACTTTGTTTTTATTTTATTAAGATGTAATTATGTTCATTTTTATTTAATTAATATGGTTATTTACTTATCGAATTTTAAATATTTAGTCATTGAAGTTTTGATTTAAATAAAAGTGATCATGTGTTAATTAAATAAAAACGAAAATGACTAAATTTATTTTTTAAATTTAATAAAAAATACAAAATTAAAACGAAAATGATCAATCTTATACTTTACCCTAATTCACTTTAACTTTTTAATTCCGTGTTATAAGATGGATTTCGAAAGGTATAATTTTTTAGTATTATTTAATAAATTAAATATCATTTAAAATTATAATATATTTTAAAGAATGAATTTTGATGATGGAATATTGAGAGGGACTATTAAAGAAATCAAGTAGTTAATAGATGAAAGAATTTGTTAAAAGTTAGTTAGAGGATCAATTGAATACAAAGTTAAAAGATTAAATACAAAAAGATAAATTTTATTGTAAAAAATAAGAATTAAAGTTACACATTTATTTTATGAAGAACATATGGTTCAATTTTAGTTAAAATAAAATTTAAATGAAAAAAAATTCGAGAAATAAGAAAATTAATGATCAAATCATAAAATTATTTAGCTAAAGACGGGAACTACATCATTTTAATTTGAGAAAATAACCTTAGTGACCGAAAATGCCTTATAATATACGATTTTAACCAACTTTTTTTGGATTTACCAAAATGACCAAAATCGCAACGCGAAGTCCAATTTCGCAACTCAGTTTCCAAATCGCAACGTGAATAGTAAAAAGCGTAACGTGAATAGTAAAATCGCAACGCGAATTTAGAAAATCGTAAAATCGCGTTGCGAATTTCAAATGGTAACTCTCTGCTTCTAGACTGAATTTTAAGTAGAAAATAAAACTTACCTATATGTGTACAGGAATAAGCTTTTTCTTAATATAATTCAAAATTTAATTTTTTAAATGTATTTCATTAGTCCGAGTTAAGGATTCTTTCAAATTTTAAACTTTAATTAATTGAATTTAGAATAATTTGTAATGAAGATTGACAAATGAAATAGATTTGTTGTTCATTTACATATAAATTTTTTCACGTGTATGAATATTTTTTATAAAAATTATTTATGTACTTTTCCGACAAATTATTATAGATGGATGATAAGAGATAATTTACATATAGATTCGTTGCGATTTTACTATTCACGTTGTGATTTTTACTATTCACGTTGCGATTTTACTATTCACGTTGCGATTTTACTATTCACGTTGTGAAATTGGAGTTCGCGTTGCGAATTTGACTTTTGTGTTGCGAATTTGACTTCTGTGTTGCGATTTACAGATTCGCGTTGCGAATTTGGAAAATCGCAATGCGATTTACATATTCGCGTTGCGAAATTGGAAAGTGAGTTGCGAAATTGGAGTTCGCGTTGCGAATTTGTTGGTCATTTTGGCAAATCTAAAAAAAGTTGGTTAAAATCGTATATTATAAGGCATTTTCGATCACTGATGTTATTTTCTCTTTTAATTTTAAGTTTTATGATTATTCATGTTTTGTAAATTTAAATTTGACTTTAAATTTAAATAAAATATCTGAATTAACTTAAATAATTCAAATTACTCGATTTATATAATTTGAAATTAATTTTTTATACTTAGATCAGATTTTATCCAAACAACAAAATAATAGTATAATTAAAATTAAATTGAATGTCATAAATAAGAAAAATTCAAGTTTGGATCGTCTGGTTGATTGATTTTCTTTAAAAAGTTGAAAATATATTTGCATATATTATTTTAAAGATTTTATATAAATTAAAATTTAATTAAAAAAATTCTATTTTGTTCAAATAATTATGGGTTTTCTAATTTAGAACCTAAAATGAAACTATTTAATTATTATCGAACTGAAATCAAATTTAGGGCTTAAATCGTTGCCATTTGAACAGAAAAAGGAAGAAGATAAGGAGTTCTAACGGGTCAACACTCAACAGCTAAAGTTGGGAAAAACCATTGACTTTTCAACTTTGATACCAAACTACTTGGCCAACAAGGAAAATGACCAGACAAAACTCCTTGCTTCCCAAGCATATATGGTCCAAGTTTCAATGTTCTATAAATACATTTCATAAGCAAGAAAAATAATCATTCAATTCCCAGCCTACATTTTTTCAGGCCAGAAATGAAGAGGGAGGCTCGCCAACATGGTATTGTTCGGACTTATCGATGGAGCCCGATACCCAAAACACGACATGTTCGAAGAATCGATCCTGTCACGGTTTCCGGATCATTTTCCAGTGTGATATCAAAGGCCGGCAGCCATTCCGAGTTTACTGGGAAATGTGGGAAGTCACAATGGGTCCAGTGTCATTCGAATCCGGTTGGTAAGTCCAAGGACAAGACAAAGGGAGCTCAAAAGTTTAGGACAACTAATATTGCCGGTTTTAAATTCTCAGGGTTTTCTGCCACTGGGGTTTTGGAATATTTGGATAGGTTTAATGAAGAAAATGAGATCGATGATCATGACGTAAATGATCACGATTATGTCAATGAGAATGGTGGTGCACATGTTCTTGTCGATGAAGACGATGACGATTTTATGGCGAAATTTTGGTCTCTACATGACAAACAGAATGACACTGACGATGACAGTGATGAAGACGAAGACGATTATGGGATATTTTGCGATGTGGGTTTCCGGCTAGACATTGAGGAAGATGAAGGGTGGTGATGTTCATAACCCGAGCCAGTTTCCTCTTGGCATAGGGATGCCATTTCAGAGTTCAAGCTCGAGTCCATATGATTAGGCAATTTGAAATTTGACACAATCCCCTAACATGTTCCCAAGATCCAGCGTGAGGACAATTATGTACTGTTATTATAATAAGAAAACATGACACAAATACTTTATGTTATGTTTACACATTGTGTAAGTGAATCCTAACCCATATATATATATATATACTTTTGTATGATTATGTCAAACTTTAGAATTGGGTTTCTTGGGAATTATTGCAAGTTTTACTTTCATCTACTGATCTAATTCTAATAGACCCAGACCATCATAATCTCAGGTTTCATTACTTGAAGTTGTTGAACTTTGAACATCTTTTTCATTTTAAATAATTGAGGGTAGGGTTTAACTCGGAATAAGAGGGTGCCAATATCACTTAATCATTAAAGAATTGAGCTATTAGTGACTCCAAATGTTTTTCTTCTAAGTTTCTATATATATTTGAAGGGTCGTTCGAGAGTCGCACCTCAATAAGTAAATCTAAATATGTCTCGAACATAGGTCACGGATATTTTAACAAAAATAAAGAATCGAAACAAGATCACCCATCTCTTTCCATATCTCTAGCAAACCAGCTTAAAGGCTTGAATTCAATTATTTCAACTTTATTTAGAAACATATGTATTTCAGTTACAAACATATTTTGTACCCAATAACCAGCACCGTGTCTCAAATTCAAATCGAAACAAATAAAATCTCCTAAACCAATAGTTCTAAGCAAGTATAACAGTATAACCAGGCGCAGGTTTAATACGAAGTAATCACCGTTAAAATACCGGTAAAAGCAGGGCGGTCATGACGTGAAGCTAATTCAGGTAAGATCATCTTCCTCCAGTTCTTTAGCTTTCAGCTTTTCCTTCACCCGAAGTAAAAGGGTTGTCCTCCAAGAATCCTGCAATGCCGTATTGTGTAAACAGAACACATCATAATTCCAATTTCATCCAAGAGGCATTCGTATGATCAAAATCGACATACCAACGGGGTCATGCTGTCAAATTCCTTGAGAGCATCGGTAAACCTTGTGACATCTTCCTCGTCCATAGCAGAAGCAATATCCTGTCACAGAAAGCATAAGGTCATTACCATATGAATTTCAAAGGGTAAGGGCCAGATTTTCAAAATTACTACTACTAGAAGTAAAATTTAACAGGCTTGTTGGTTCGGATGTAACTTGTAAGCCAGTAACCAGAAATATCATCAGCCAGTGCACGTGAAAGGGAAAAATAGAACAAATGGCATAAATGCAACCACTGAATAGGCATCTTCAAGCAATTAAAAAAAACTAATAATCTACACCGTTTCCTTTCGCAATAGAAAAAAAAATTAGAAAAAAAAATTGTTTCCTTGTGATAACTTACAGCTAATAATCTACACTCTCGTGTTTCAGAAAAAGTTGGATCCAGATCCTGAAGAAAGCAAATGTAGATATAAGTTCAATATAACCAGAGGTAAACATGTTCTTACAATGCCAAAAAGTCAACCTGATATCGCTCTAACGCATTGGTGATTGCAACAACATCGCCTTTGCAGAGTTGACAAATGCCGGCATTAAGAAGATGTCCTTTAACTCCATACTTCAGCAAGTTATTGGTAACCGACTGCCGTGCTATCTCTTCATAGATCTCGATGGCTTTCTGGTATCTGAAGAAATTCAAAAGCAGAGCTATAAAATTTTCTCAAATTTTACATGGGGAGCTGTATTTATCTGAGCAGACAGCACAAAATTGTAGCAAGAACAACGTATACTAGAAGTGAATATGCTCACTGTTCTATCTGAGCAGCAAATTGTGCAACTTTCTGCTTGCACTGATTGGCAGAAGTAGATACTTCTTCACTTAGGAAGAAATCTGCAGCCTTTTCATAATAATCCATGGCCTGTTCAATGTTTTGTTCAGATTCATATAATTCGGCAATTTCCTGCACATCAAAGAGGCATCCATGTCTATCAATAACCATAAGCAACATCATGATAACAGTAATATGAAAAAACACGAGTGCCTTGAAGGTTTAACAATACTGGCAACAATGTGAGCGAAGAATGAGGAAACAATACAAAAGTCTCACTTCGATTCTTTGTTTTTCTTTAAGTATCCATGTTTAACATTCTTGGCATACACATGTACTGAAATGGACGTGAGGAATGGACATGACCCTCCAAATATATGAAAAGACTTGAAAAAAATTGAAATTACACATCTATATCCTTACAATCACACTAACAGAGATAAGAATTCAACAAGAACAAAAAAAAAAATTGAAAATGAAAAGTATGTGCTATAAAATTGTTATTCCATATGAATGAAGAAACAATACCTTATAATACCTTGCAGCCATACTGAGCCTTCCAATATCACAAAACATGTTCACTGCCTGCTGCAAGCACGATATAGCCTCTGTATAGAAACACAATTTAACAATGGGCAACGATTTCCACTAAGCGAAACTATGTACAAATCACTTACCCTTTGGCGATGTTTTCTTATAGCAATGAGCAGCACTAACATACGCTTGAGCAGCTTCATGGTGGCTTTCTAACTACAGAATTTTTTTTGGGGGGGGGGATGAGGGCAAATAAAAGGGTCAAATTCAATCTTACAAAACAGTTCATTTATGAATTAAATGCTATTTTGCTTAAGTGCTTACTTTCAAATGACAATTTGCTAACTTAACATAAATTGATCCAGCTCTGTCCCCTAGAGAAAAGAAAAGACACAGAGTAACGACCAAAACAACCACATTAATTCTTGACGCAATCGGGATTAACCAGCAAATATAATTAATAAATTGAAACAGAGTAACAATTTAAAGATAGGAACAACAACAATGAAAAACTTTGATCGCGGTAAAAATAAATCTAATTTCGCTCGCCTCAACAGAAACATTAATCATAAATTTTAGATTACGACCTCTGCATCGCAAAAATTAATCAGGAGATTTCGAATTTTCATTGTTATTTTAAACCAGAATTTCTCGAGAAACAAACAAAACATAATATTTAAGAAAAAACGATCAAGGAAAAAGGAAAGAAATACAAGATTTGGCGAGCTTGAAGAAATTGGCAGCTTTCTCAAAGAGATCGGCGGCATCTTCATATTTGGAGCCAAAAAAGCCCCAGCTGTTTAGCTTTTTCTCTGCGTTTTTCTCGAATTCTTCTCCTCTGGCTGATTGATCTCCCATCCCCCCCCCCTTCTGCTTTCACTCTGTTTGATCAGAAATGAATTTAAGAAACAAAAAACATACAAATTTGATGAGTCTTATGATTTATTTGGGAAAAAAATGATATTTGTGAAAATTGAATGGTTATTCTCTTTTCTTTAATTAATTTTCTACCTCTGATATAGTTGAAAAATGTAGTTAACTATTATTTCATAAATCATATTAGATATAATATTTATTCGATATACTTTTTTCATAAATTTATATTTTAAAGGGCCGTACTTTAATTATATATGTATATATGTATATATATAAGCACAATGGCAAAGCAAATTTGGTAGCATATATCAATACGAAACACTCTTCTTCCCTGAACTTCCATTTTTGCTAAAATGAAAAGATTTTAGAAGAAAACTATGCTCATCCCATTCTCCCAAGGAGAGAAAAATAATAATTTTCCCAATTAATAAAGCTATCCCATGAAAAAAATGAATCCACACAATCAACCCAATATTGCTTTACATATTCTCCTCCAACGGATGTGGTTTCACTCGGTGAAAGATTATTGGATTCCTCCATTGGATCTAAACCCAAGCTTCCACATGATATATGGTAGCTGTTGAATAGGTCATTTGTTTCGTCCAAAGTTGCTTGAATTTACATGCCATGATCGTCCTCGGATTTTGATTCTGAGCTTGTTTCTTGTTTGTTTGATGAATTAGAGTGTGAATTATTGTTGTTTCCAGCATCGATTTTCTCTGGTTTCTCGATAGGTTTGTGTTTCACAGAGTCTAAACCAAGCAGCTTTAGCTTCTTCTTGTTTCGGGTGTCCACTGATTCTTGATTTCTTTATCTGTACGTCCAGGGAAATGTGAAGCAATCTTGGACCACCTATCAATTTTATATCTTGTGTTAGAAGGAAGAGTTAAGTCGCATTTGGGGTGAAATTGAATTGGGTTTAGACAAATAAGGTTTTTGTTAGCGCTCATTTCTTTAATTTTAAAGATGTTCATATTTTATTTATATTTGTGTTTGTTTAAATTTTTAATATTATATTATATTTTTTTATTTGTTTTTCAAGGTATTCGTATTGACTTAAAATTTTAATATTGTATTCTTTTTTTTATGTTTGAAGGTGTTCATGTTCGATTTGTTTAACACTTACGAATATATTCGTTTATATGTTAGTCTAGTGTTTGTCAATATATTAGTTTATATGGTTTGAGTTCCTTATTCAACCAACACTCTAGTTTTAGATTTTATTTGTAAATAAAAATGGTTAAACTATGTCACTAGTCCTTAATTGTCTTAAGTTTCATAGTTTCAACTTCAAAGTTTACTATATATATTCAATTTAATTCCTATATTCACGATTCAGGGAGGAATATCCGTACCGAAAGGGCCGAAAGGGCTGTGGCAGTAGGATCGATATGGATATCCATAGTGGCGATACCGTCAGTGAAAGAAGGGTTGGCAGGGGAAACGGATTCTTCGGGTCGGGTCGTGACACCGTACGGATTGGATGATTCGTCGACATGGGCTTGGATCCGGTTCTGCAAACGATGCTTCAAGAGGAACTTGAAGAATACACTGTATAATTTTACAGCTATGCTTGGCATTTCCCCCTTAAATATATGCTTTCTCGATGAATAAAGAATTCTGGGTTTCGCTTGAGAAATTGGCAGAAACCGGAAATAAAGCTTAAAACAAACTTCTTTTCTAAAAGCCTCAGAGCTGTGGAGTCTGGGTTTTCTATGTTTGAGGTAAATCCATGGTTTTTCTTGGAGAGGGAGAGGTTGAAACTTGAAATGACAAATTAAGGAGTGGAATTTCGTAGAGGGAATTGGGTGATTAGGATTTTTAAAATCTGGGAATCGCTCAAGTATCGGTTCTTTCAATGGTTAAACGTTGTTTTGGGGTTTCAATCCAAATCAAAGCAGAGAAAAAGGAAGAAACTTTAAAGGGGTTAACACCTTACATGCAAGTAACCAGCAACTTTATTCAGCTATTATAGTCTATGATTATTTCGGTGAAATCATATGGAAATTTAAATCATTAATTGTACTTTAATGACATGATTGGCCTTGGAATTGGAAGGTGCAACAGTTGGAGTCATTGATTTCTGTAATTTATTTGGAATTTCAAAAACATGACTGGGAGGGAAGGAAAGTCATATTGATTCCTCCAGCATTTTAGAACTTTTTTCTGCTCACATTTCAATTTAAGATTGAAGCTTTCTGAAAACCTTAATGAATATATTAATTACACAAATAAATATAAGAATTATATTACTAGACAACTTGAAGACAAGTTCAAGAATCAATGTCATGTCCCCGAAAACAAACATTTTTTTCTTGGATTATATAACAAGTTCAAATTCAGTATCATATCATTACAATGTCAAGTACACTATAAATCCGAACCCAAGCTTTTTAAAATATATATATATATACTTTTTATAAAATCGATTCAAATCGGATCGAAAACGTTGAGTTTGAGTATTTTGCTCATCCCTACTCACATAAGCAGTCATCTTTGTATCTTTGTAAAGAAGACATAAGAGCAAATTGATACAAAAAAGTGGAGAAAACCTTTAAAGATTATGAATGGGAAAGAAGTCTACTTTACAAACCAAGCTCATTTGTTTTCATTGTCCCCCAAACCATTCTATACACAAATTTTATGCATATATGAGCAAAAGGGGCTTTAGATTTACCCCCCACATAAAAAACATTAATCTTGATGAATCCATCAAATCCAAGCAAACCTAATTTTTCAGGTGGTGGAACAATTGGCATGATGGAAAACTCGGCTTCATTGTCCCCATTCCCCCAACTCAAGGTTTGCATACCGACCTCGGCGCTTACGACCTTTTTTTGTCCTAGCAAGACGGCTTGCGAGCAATCGCATTCGGGGAGACAAGCACGGGTTCATTACTTGCAGCTTTCATTGCAGCAATCTCTTCTAATCGTTTCCAAGTGGCTCCGCGTTTCGATTTAACCTCATTTTCTCGTTCTTCGTCTTCTACAAACTTACGCAAGCATTCCTCAAAGAGCTCGGGGTCGGTGTCAGAGAAAATCTTGCGGACGTTTAGTGTCAAGCTCTGCACTGCCTGATTCCAGTGGTTTCTAGCATTCTTTTCCAAGGAAGGGAAGATAATGGGAAGTATAACGTTCCGGTTCTGTTTTATTAGGTTCACAATATGATCATTGTTCCATAAGAACAAAGCTCTCTCTGCCACCTGCAATCAAAATTCAAGTTTCTAAAGATGAAATAGAAAGTCTGCAAGAAATTAGCACATTATCTTCAAACTTTCAAAATGTTAGTTCCGAACATAAATATAAATGTGTGTATTCACTAGTAGCAAAACCGACTCATTGCAGTTTCACACCGTAACCCCTATGTTACTCTTGACTCTTCATTTTTCTTCAATTTCTCGTGTCTGGCTTCCATGTTCGACATATACTCGGAAATATGCATGGGGGATATGATCCTCCAATTACACCCAAATCCAAGTAACATAGATAACAACTATTGAAATAACTATAAATACAAGGATAACTTTTAAAACCAGACACCAAGAGGATACCCCAAGTGCTATAAAACAAACTGAAGTCCGAAACCGTCCTCTTGTCAGCGCATTGCAGACCAACTAAATTGAAGGGGGCATAGGCCATACAAATTTCAAGCTATTCAAATAACGAACATACATTTTATCACAAACCATGCAACATCCTTTAAGCAACTGCAAGTTAAAATTATATAATAAATTTGACTACTCATGCTTTGTCAAGGAGATTTACATAAAGATAGAGAAGAGTGAAAAGTTGCAAGTAATGGACTGGATGAAATTCACACCTGAAAATGCGAGCTACTCAAGCAACGGCCTATCTGGCGGAATAAGGGAACCATGCAGCGTTGAAACTCAGCAAGTTGTGTGGCTTCTAAAACTTCCTCCAGTTCACCCAAGAACATGACTTCTTTCGAGCTATTTATAATCGGCCAATACTTTAGCAAGCCCCGAATAACGGTATCAGCAAGCTTGCAGTCTTTCTCCACGAATTGAGTAATGCAATATGACAACTGCTGATGGTACATGGGTATGCACTTCGGTTTGTGAAGTGGTATCAATGCACGAACAAGAAAGAGCTTATGTTCTTCTTTCAGTGGCAAAGCAAACCCATTAATTATACTACCAAGTATTTCTAATAGCTCTGCAATTCCATTGTGTTTTTCAGTTTCAAAGATAAATAGGAAAAACACATTGTTGATTCCTTTCCTGATGAATGGACGATGGACCATAAATTTCCCATAGATGCGATGCAACACGGTCTTCAGGTACTCCCTTTCTCTGGGGTCCTCTGAATCAAAAAGGTCTAACAGCCTTAGAACAAAAGAGTGATCGATATATCGCTTGGCCAGTTTTGCATCCGTCTCAGGTGATGCCACAAACCGCAAAAGAAATTCGTAAACAACTTGCAAATGAGGCCATGCGGAATCCATTGAGGGCTCCTCCTCTTCCAAATCAAATGCTTCTAAAACCCTGTTCTCGCGTGGTGGAGAAGTAAGCGTTCTAAACAAATTTACAGACACCATCTTTACAATTTCTAGCATAACAATCTCTGAAAACTTTCCATTAGCGGATGAAACGTAATCCACAAGCTCTAGCAAGGTTTGCCGCTTGATATCCTTCTCTTTGATGTTTTTCGTCGGGTCAGTGAAGTCAAACACGACACAACACATGTTCAGTTTCCTGATAAACAGGTTCTGCTTCTCGGAATTAGGAACATCTCTAAAACCAGGCAATGCCTCGAAGGAAGCAGCGAAAGTATTCCCATTCAACTTTGCATTCACCACTTGAGAAATCTTATTCCCTTGATTCAGCCCCGAACTTGGGTTTGCATAGCGATTACTCGAACTGGTAGAAGCATTTGATGAGGAGGTAAAGGTTCTCCCATCACGATTGTCACTCGACTTTGATTTCCGAGGGAGCCTATTAAGTATTTGTTTGATCATCCTAACTTTGAACAAGAATCTCTTCTCACAAACTTAACAACGCGATAGAAAACAAAACCCTATGCACCATCAAATACCCAGAAGCAAGTAAATTCATGATCCGAATGCC